CCCGCCACAACGCCTGGCCATTTTTTGGTTGCAGCCATCATTGTTGTTTGGTGGGCCTGGGCTGGGGATTCGAACCCGCTACCTTAGGTGTATGTGGCTGGTGCCTTAGCCGCTTGAGCCACAGGCGCGAAGCCATGCCCAGCTATTTTTAAAGACGAGGTCTTGCTCTGGTTCAGGCTGGTCTTGAAACTGTGATCCCAGGCATTTCACCCACTTAAGCCTCCCAGAGTGCTAGGATTACAGGTATGAGTCACCTTGCCTAGCCCCATACAATTTTTTGCAGAGCCAGACAAGGTGGTTCATGCCTTTAATCCTACTACTCTGGGAGGCTGAGACAGGAAGGTCCCTTGAGCTCATGAGCTCGAGACCAGCCTGTGCAAGAGTGAGAACTCCTGTCTCTACTAAAAATAGAAAAATTAGGTAGGCATTGTGGCAGGCTTCTGTAGTCCCAGCTATTTGGGAGGCTGAGGCAAGAGGATCACTTGAACCCAGGAGTTTGAGGTTGCTGTGAGCTAAGCTGACATCATGGCACTGACCTGGGCAACAGAGTGAGTCTTCCTCAAAAAAAAAAAAAAAAAAAAAAGATAAAAAGATCACTTGAAGGCTGGGTGTGGTGGCTCATGGCTATAATCCTAGCACTCTGTGAGGCCAATGCAATTGCTTGAGCTCATGTTCAAAAACCAGCCTGAAAAAGAGGGAGATCCCTTCTCTAAAAATAGCTGAATGTTGTGGTGGGCACCTGTAGTACCAGCTACTTGGGAGGCTGAGGCAAGAGGATCACTTTGAGCCCAAGGGTTTGAGGTTGCAGTGAGCTATGACACCACAGCACTCAACCAAGGGTGACAAAGTGAGATTCTGTCTCAAAAAAAAAAAAAAAATTATTTGAGCCTAAGAATGTGAGGCTTCAGTGAGCTATGATCATACAGCCTGGGTAAAGTAGCAAGACCTCATCTAAAATAAATAAAAAATAAGGTTCCACCAGGTGTGGTGGCTTACATCTGTAATCCTAACTCTTTGGGAGGCAAAGATGGATAGATAGCTTGAGCTCAGGCATTCGAGATCAGCCTGAAGAACAAGACTCCATCTCTACTAAAACATAGAAAAACTAGCTAGGTGTAGTAGTAGGCACCTGTACTTACAGCCACTTGAGAAGCTGGGGCAAAAGGACTCCTAAAGCCAAGAGTTTGCTGTGAGCTAGGATGCCACAGCACTCTACCCAGGGCAACAGAGTGAAAATCTGTCTCAAAAAAAATTTTAAAATTATAATACCCCAAGGCTTCTATTCTTGAACAGGATGCTCCCAATGCCACTCTTCTATTTCTTTTCACTGTGGCTAAGCATCACCTGTCAAGTCTTCAGACGGCAGGACTGAATTATAGGCTAACTATTAAATAATTCCAGATATAGACAATCTAAAAACCAGAAAGTGGGTTTAAAACTACATCCTAGGCTCTAATAAAGGTTTTCTCTGTTGCTGACAACCCAGTTTTTACCTTGGGACAAAGCGTCCAAGTGAAGGTGCGGACATGCGGGCATTACGTGGAGCTCGGTGTCTGGATCTGTCACCATTGTCCCTGGAGAAAACAAAAAGACTACATGTAAGAGAGTCACTAAGGCAGAATTATCCCCCAGCCCAAAAGACAAGCATCCCCCCAAACTAAATTTCTATACTTAGGAGAGAAATGCACAGAAAGCAATCATCTGATTGCTCAGAAAAATTTTTTTCTTTTTGGAGATAGAGTCTCATTATGTCGCCCTTGGTAGAGCGCCGTGGTGTCACAGCTCACAAGCAACCTCCAACTCTTGGGCTTAAGTGATACTGTTGCCTCAGCCTCCTTAGTAGCTGGGATTACAGGTGCCCACCACAAGCCCCGGCTATTTTTTGGCTGTACTTGTCATTGTTGTTTGGCAGGCCTGGGCTGGGCTTGAACCTGGTGTACGAGCTATAGGCGCCAAACCTGATTGCTCAGAAATTGAGTCAAACACTAATAAAACACATTTCTAAAAGATTTATGAGCATTTACCAACAGTTTGTAAAGGAGGAGAAGATTTTTCTTAAGTTAATGTAGTCTCTGAATGCTGAAGTATCTGAAATTGAAGTCAAGTTTAGATCTTGGAATCTACAATGCATATATATATAAACTTCCTATACTACAAGAAAATGTGGCTTTGCAAGTCTTAAAGGAAAAAGAAATTCCCCCATCAATTTCATTTGACAAAGGGTTATCTTCAAATGAAATCAGTTTATGTCTTCTGTGTGAAAAAAATCTGTGAAGTGAACGAAAAATAAAAACACAAGAGAAAGACAGTCCCTTCATTTAGAGACTAAAATATTGGCAATGGTGAAGAAAAACAGAAAATCCGATCCAAAGTCAGATCATCTGAGTAAAAAGACTAAAGTATAGGTGTTTTCTTTTTTTTTTTTTTTTTGAGACAGAGCCTCAAGCTGTCACCCTGGGTATAGTACCATGGCATCACAGCTCACAGCAACCTCCAACTCCTGGGCTCAAGCGAGTCTCCTGCCTCAGCCTCCCAAGTAGCTGGGACCACAGGCACCTGCCACAACGCCCGGCCATTTTTTGGTTGCAGCCATCATTGTTGTTTAGCGGGCCCAGGCTGGATTTGAACCTGCCAGCTCAGGTGTATGTGGCCTGTGCTTTAGCCACTTGAGCCACAGGCACCAAGCCTAGGTGTTTTCTTTATGAACTTTTAAAGCAATAGTAATAGCCAACATTTATTAAATATCTACTAAGTTCTAGTACAAAAGTTATTAATGTTTAATAATAACCTTATTTAATCAATCTAGCTATTCCAGGATAATTCTGTTTTACAGATAAGAAAACTAAAAACCAAAGACGCAAATAACTAAGGTCCTACAACTAATACGTTTTCCTGAAAATACTATACTGTCTTATATATATTTTTTCTCAAGAAGACACACTAGGGCTTATTTTCAGGGGATGTCTTACCGTATGCTGAAATGCATATGGCGTGGCTATGCAGCATATCTGCATACCATGCCCATCACTAGGTCTTATTATCAGGGTTGGGCTTATATTTAACAGATGCATAGAAATCCTGCTAGGGTTTATTTTAGGGGTAGGTCTTATTTTCAGGGAAACACGGTAAGTGGCTAAGACAGGTTTCAAGGAAGATCTGACTGTGAAGCCCTGGATCTTTTTACTATACTTCACTGATTCCTACAAGAAAAGAAAAGAACTTCACATGGTTTAGCTGCCAAAGCATCAAAGAAACAGAAAATCAAAGGCCACTGGCTGGCCAGACCAGTTAATAAGCTACTTAACCAACTCCACAAAATAAATGAACCTCTGGATAGCTTGGGACATTTTCTGAATTCCCTTTGGATTATATCCAAATCAAAGAGATAATCTTCAGACTGGCCCTTGAACTAAAGCTAAAGCAACATTTTGGCATATAAGTGGACCACCGGGAGAATCACAAGCCAGAAACAAAAGCCTACCATAGTTTTTATATCTCAGTAGAACTGACTATTGAGCATTAAGAGATGAACCAATATCAGGGATACTGGAACATGATCCTAAAAGTCAGGGTATTTGGTTTTTCTTTTCCCCAAAGAGAAAGCACATTATTGTTTTTCTTAACATGTCACATTTCTTTGACAACTTGAAACTCTGTAGGTGTAGACACAAAGAAGACTAAATGGACAATAAAGCTCAGGCCTATAATCCCAGCACTCTGGGAGGCCAAGCTGGATGGAATGCCTGAACTCAGGAGTTCGAGACCAACCTAAGCAAGAGTGAGACCTCATCTCTACTAAAAACAAAAAAAAATGCCTAGGCAGGCGTTATGGCAGGGGCCTGTAGTGCTAGTTGCTAGTCATGAGACTGAGGCAACAGGATTATTTCTGCCTGGATTTTGGGAGTGCTGTGAGCTATGATGATGCCATGGCGCTCTACCTAGGGCAACAGAGTGAGACTCTGTCTCAAAAAAAAAAAAAGGAAAATACCATGGAACATATTGCAAGTACAAGCTGGATCTATTAGGTATAGAGCATAAATGTCTTAATCTTGTAATTGGGTGAAAGTGGTAAATGCTATGTTGCTTAGTAGGATGTAAGCATTCCAATTTGTACAAATAATCAACACATTGAATCCTATAATGGCATGAATGTATTTATGATCTATGTACAAATGACTTAATGAAAAAAAAAAGGAGACTCGGCACTTGTGGGTCAAGTGGCTAAGGCGCCAGCCACATACACCTAAGGTGGCAGGTTCGAATCCAGCCCGGGCTCGCCAAACAACAATGACAGCTGCAACCAAAAA